TCTCCGAAAACGATTAAAAGAAATTGCAGATGAAAAAAAAATGGAAATAAAGAAAAATTTATTACAAAAATAAGTTTAAAAAGTTTTTAAATTAAGAGTGTTTCACTTGCTCACTCTTTGTTTTGCATTAGATAATTGCAGTTATAAAATGTGAGACAATTTCAGCTATAAAAATGTATATTTTTTTTTAAAAAAGGATTAATTTTTAATTAATTAATTAATAAAAGCGATAAAAATAGTGTAAAACTTGTTAAAGTTATCAAAATGTCGATTTCACTAAATTCCAACAAAATGTGTTTAAACTTGAAATCTCAGCTAATGGAACTGATACACAGAAAAAGAGTCAGATAATAAATAACAATCAATAAACTGAAAAAATATAAATTGTTTTTACTAACCCGAAACTATCAACGGCGAAATTTTTGATTGAAAACAAACATTAAAGTGAGTATTTCTCAATTGTTTTATTGAAAAAATGTAAATGCTTTCAAAGCTGATTTAAAAACTAATTGTATGTTGAAATCATAGAACTTTGGTGTTAAACATTATTTTAATATAATGTAGTAGTATAGATCATGGTGATTTCGAACACTTTTCGGGAATCCTCCATCCCCATGATCTATTGAAGACATGGATTCAACGACTTCTTTTTCTTAGTGACTTTTTTTTTCTTCCTCCTCGCTTAATATTTAAAAATTTTAATTTCTAGAAAAATGAACTTATTTTTTTTATTTATATATAAAGATTTCAAATAAAGATACGAGTGTTGACATCTTTATATTAATACAAAAAATATTAGTACTCTAAACTAGACTTCGGACCCGCGCTTTTTGTTATAAAAAATTAGTATTTAAAAATACTATTAAAACGGGATGTTGTTTTTTTACCCGATTCTTTGGAGTTTTTAATACTAATAATCATTAGTAAAAAATATCGGGATTAAAGTCTACTCTAAACAAAAATCACTTTGAATAAACAAAAATTGCAAAATATAATTCTAAACAATAAGGATGGAACAAAAAAAGAGTATTAATTGCAACGTCACAATATATTTAAAATATAGTTTCGCCAAAATTAAATGAAAATCCTTTTAAAAGTAAATTGAAAGTAAATTAATTATTTCTTAAATGGTTTTTCTTTCTTTTGGGTGTTGTTTCCAACACATTTCAATCATTTTAAAAAATATTTCTGGAATGTTTTTTTCTTCTTTTAAGGCGTTTCCCTGCTGTTACAAATTCAGCTATTTTCCAAGGAAATTTAAAATCTTTGATTAGATAAGCTTCCTTCCAACTAAATGCTTCAAACATAGTAATAGCAAATGAATAAATGTCGGCACTTTTTGTGTATTTTTCCTTAATTACAATTTCAGGAGCCATGTAACTTGGTGTACCAACACCTTTTGTAAATGTCATATTAGTCATCAAAAGATTGATGTTTCTACTTGATCCGAAGTCGGTCAATTTAGCATTTATTTTGTCGTTCAAATTGAATGAAAAAACAAGAATATTGTCTGGCTTGATATCTCTGTGTAATATTCCATTATCATGAAGATATGAAATGCCTTTGGAAGCGTCTAACATTATTTTTATACGCATATCTATGTTTACTTCATCACCTGTTTTGTGTTTTATTGAATCTTGTAAAGACCCATAATGTGCAAATTCAGTAACCAAACACACTTTAGTTGGTATAAAAACGGCACCATAGAAGTAAACAATAAATTCACTTCTAAATTTGTCTAACATAGCAACTTCCTTTATAAATTCATCCATTTCATTATCAATTTCTTTGAATTCTTTCATCTTCTTTATGGCGACTACGTTTCCTCTAAAATTTCCTTTGTAAACAATACCAAATGATCCTTCGCCTAATTTCTTCTCTGCAACCAACTCATCTGGATCAAGTCGTGTTGATATTTCAGTGATAATATTTAGATTTATAGCATATTCTTTAGTAATTCCATTTTTTAAGTTCTTTGTAAAAAGCGCAATTATGTCATGAATTTTACATGAACAGTTGGGATGTATATGAATCTCAACTTCAACTGCTTGACCTCTTAAAAGGGAAACCACTTGTGGTATTGTTTTAATTGTTAATCTTTCGTTGTTTTCTTTTGTTGAAAATTGAATTTTTAAATGGTGTTTTGATGAGTTTCCAACACATATCAACTCGCAGGTGTCGACACCAACTTTAATTAAATGTTCCAAATCACCAAATAAAATTAGAGTTTTGTTGACAACAAGACCATGTCCAATAGAAACAAAGGAAATATTAGAGTGACTCATTTTAAATACAGTTGTTTGTGTTGTTAATTGTTGTTTCGTTTTTTTCTCAATAAATTTTGACGCAAGCACAATACCATTAACTAAGAATATTGTTACAAAGATAATAAATAAAACGATAATCAAAATGACCCACCAAATAATCGCCTCTTGACAATACATTCCATTTTTACTTGGAGTGTACCAAAACACACATTTTTCACATTTTGAGTTTTCAATTCTGACGCAATTTGATACTTCTGACACGTTTTTACAAATGTTGTTTTCATTTAACAAATGATTAGCATAACATGAAGTACACACTTTTTCTATAGAACACGTAAAACAATTTGAATTACACTTTTTACACTCATTTCCATTTATTCGGTAATACCCATTTTTACACTTCGCACACCCATTTTGAGTCACTTTCTCTTCGCATAGTTCTTCAAGTTGACTGAAAGGTTGACAATCACCATTTATAGTCATGTAAAACGACTCTGCACATGTGTAACAAGTCTCTTTGTCTTGACAAGTCGCACATTTTGAGGAACATTTAAAACACTCAAAGCCACTCCTATAATATTTATCTGCACAAATTACACATCCCCCAGTAAGGAAAGTTTGTCACAAATA